CAAGACCTCATGTGACAATATAACACCTCTATTCGATACATTGTATTTCAAAACATCCATATGTGAACGATTCAATCGCACTTTCAAAAACAAAAAGTGGCCAAAGTTCAGTCTTCATGAGAGTTACAAGAGGCTTAATATCTTACCAGATCTAGTTGCAGCTTACAACGCTCGCAAGCATCCAACAATTGGTGTAAAGCCTGCCGATGTCACAACCGTTTGTCAAACTTAAGTTATACACAAATTCACGGTTAAGATGAAATAATAAATAGATAAAAATTCAAAGTTAACGATCAAGGGCGTGTGGGTACAGCTAAAAATGCCTTTGAAAAAGGCTACACGTCAAACTGATCGACTGAAATATTCACCGTTTATAAAGTATTAAAAGTCAATGCAGTTATTTATCACTTAAAAAATCATGAGAATCAGCTGGTCTTTAGTTGCTTTTACAAATAAAAGCTTCTTAAATCTAAAATATCCGGACATTCATCTGGTGGAAAGTCATGAAAAAATGTGGTTATATGGTTTATGTTAAGTGGTTAGGATTCGATTAATTCCATAATAGTTGGATTAGCAAGTCAGATATTTAAGGAAGAAAGGAACTGGAGGGGGCTCTGTCCAGTGCCCCATCTTGTGATGAACAAGCTTTTATGCATTTCTAGCTCTAATTAAACTTTCTCTTTTTTTTTCTCTCTTTCTTTATACAATATTTACAAATTTAAAAAATCAAACTTGTTATCACCATGGTACACAATAAACAGAACATATTTTGAACTTTTTCTTCCACTTCAATGTACAAATCATTACTGGTTTCTGTTGCTTTTGAAACCTGATCGGGAATGAAGACTTGAAATTCATCATCTATGATTATGACTATGTGGCAACTCAGCAATATGTGCAAGCTGCACACTCAAGGCGCAAACAGCTGCTGACACCTTGTGTCTCCTTCTAACTGCAAAGCAGCATAAGCCGAGCCAACCCTACTATTCGTTGCCTCAGCTGGATGAAAAGAAAAGAGACAGAGCAAAAAGCAGCGGCGCCGAGTTCACGCATTTTAGTTTATCTTTCCTTATAGCCTGCGCCGTCGCCTGAGACGGACGTTACGCCTTTTGTATTTGTTCATTAAAATTGAAGTTTTGTTAACCGTTGTCGAGAGTATCCTTTCTTGACCCAGTGCTCCCGTACCTGGACACGGAGGCACCTTGTTACTACCAGAGCCTCACCCTCGCTTAGTTCCCCATAGTGATGACCCCGATCAAGTGAAATTAGGGGAAAAAGTTAAGTGAGTGTGCGAACAGTGTACAAAAAGGCTGAACACGAGGCAGGCACATGTCGTCAAAAAAGGCGGCCATCTTGGGCCTGGCATGAACGACGTACCTCCTCCAAAAGAACGCGGCCGGCCAAGTACCAGTAAGGACACACAAACGAGAACCTCGCTGCGACTTTAAGGTATTCCCGGTACTTTCTTTGAGGATAGTGCTGCAATTTTTAACGCCGCGCGTTCGCTCAACAAGGCAGCAACCGCCCCCGCTGTCGGCAAGCCACCGACATTTTTGCCTTCTCTCTCGCTGCCTGAGGCAACAGAGCTCTCGCCCTCCGAAAAAAACAAACCGCCGCAGCCCGCACCTAACATCTCGCACGGCAGTAACTCGTCCTCCGATTACGATGACTCGAACGACGAATCAAAAACGCGCCCAAGCAATAACACAACGCCAGAAGAAAGCATGTCAACAAAATGCGACCGCCGCGTTTTTGGCGTAATGCTCCAAGGCCATGGTTCACACAGGCAGAGTGTTTGATGGCTTCAAGCAACGTCACAGACAACAACGCAAAATTCAATCTTTTTGTTGGCGTTCTTGACCAGACGACAGCCACGGAGGTTATGGACATTATTGACCCTCTGCCGGCCGATCAGAAGTACAAGACGCTCAAAGACGCCATTTTATCACGCACCACGGACTCTGCTAAAAAGATGCTTCGGCAATTACTCTTAGGTATTTCTCTTGGCGATTGGATTACAAACCTTCAGCACTTTGGCAAAAAATGAAAAACCTTACGGGTAATAAAGTAACCGACAAAGTCCTAAAAGTCAAGTGGCTCAACTCACTCCCTCAAGCCGCCGCCATGCTTTTGAGCATCTTCAAGACAGCATCAATGGATGAACTTTCTGAGGCAGCTAACAAGCTCGTGGAAACTGGAGGCACTGTCATGGCTATCTCCAAGGCATCTTACACCCCGCCCAACACCACCACCTTGGACCTGCTTCAAGAAATTACGGCGCTTAGAGCAGCTGTTGCCCAGCTGACAATTCAACAAGCCCATACACCACCTGCCTCAGGCCAACAGCGGGGCCACAACCGTGATCGCTCGACATCTGGTAATCGTCGAGGCCGCTCAGCCACCCCAGCCATCCCAGGTGTTTGCTGGTACCACCGGAGGTTTGGTGCCAAAGCAGAGCGCTGCACCACTCCGTGCAACTTTATCTCTCCAGCACAGGGAAACCAATCGATCCGCCTCTGGTCCAGGCGACAGAGGCCGAAACGGGTTCGGACACACGCCTGCATACATTCGATTCTCGCTTACGTATACATTTTTTAGTTGACTCTGGCTCCTCGGTATCTGTACTGCCCAAGGCCTTGTCAAGGCGAACACAAGTTCGGCAGTTTCTGGTGCTATTTGCTGCCAACCACGCGCCCATCTCGACGTATGGCAAAGTGCATCTCACTCTCAATCTTGGCTTACGAAAAGACTTACAAGGTGATTTTATCTTGGCTGACATCTCCACAGCAATCCTAGGCGCCGACTTTCTGGCCCAACATGGTCTCCTGCTCGACTGCAAAAACCGAAAACTCGTCGACCCATGCACCAGCCTGGCCGACAACTGCTCCGTCAGAAAAGCAGAACTCTGCTCAGTGTCCGCACTTGAATCACCAATGGACGACTCCTTGATCCAGCGCTACTCAGCCCTACTTGAAGAATTGGCCGATCTCTTTGAAGCTTCAAGCAGTTCAGTACAAATTCCTAATCTGCCGGTAAAACACACCATCGCCACTACCAGCCCACCAGTGGCCGAACGTCCCAGAAGACTAGTAGGTGAGCGCCTGGCAGCAGCCCAAAAAGTTTTTTGCAAACTGTTGGACAAGGGCATCATCAAGAAGGATGGCTCATTCCGGGTAACAGGCGAATACCGCAGACTTAACTCTCAAATAATACCAGACATGTACCCGCTGCCCATCATACAGGACTTGCTACAGGAGAACCCAGGTAAAGTTTTTTCAACGGTCGACCTGCAAAAAGCCTTTCATCAGATACCGGTAGCTGAGGCCGACGTTGAAAAAATGGCAGTGACAACGCCTTTTGGCCTATTTGAGTTTCTGGGCACCTCACTAGGCCTGCGAAACTCAGCCCAGTCGATGCAAAGGATGATCGACCATATTCTGCGCAAGCTTCCATTTGCCAAGGCCTTTATTGACGATATTTTCGTCGCTTCTTCACACGAGGAATATCTAAACCACCTTCGGCAACTTTTTACAGCTCTTAAAAAAGCTCAGCTCACGATCAAGCGAAAAAAATGCACCTTCGAAAATCCTCAAGTACTCTACCTAGTTTTTCAGGTCTCTGAAGATGGCATACAACCTCCAGAGACCAAGGTCACTGCAATAAGAGACTTTCCTAAGCTAACTGATGCTTCAGAGCTCCGCCGGTTTCTAGGAATGCTTAAATACTACAGGCCATGCATTCCACACGCTGCCGACATACAAGCACCACTCCATGAATTGCTCAAAGGCCGGACTAAAAAAAAGAAGCTTCCTTGGACCACCACAGTGGAACAAGTCTTTCAATCTTGCAAGGACTCCATTATCGAAGCGACTTGCACCACCTTTCTGCGTCCAGGTGCGCCACTAGCCCTAAGGACCGATGCCTCAGATATAGCTATCGGCGCAGCACTGGAACAGCAAAATGAAAACGGCGCATGGCGACCACTAGGTTTCTTCTCGAGGAAATTAGACCTGACGCAGCGCCTCTACAGCACCTTTGATCGGGAACTGCTGGCAATCAGCGCTGCCATAAAACATTTCCAAAGAATCCTGGAAGGTCGCCCGTTCACTACGTTCACGGACCATCGCCCACTGATTTTTGCGCACCGCCAAAGCTCCAACAAAGCCACACCGAGACAAGTTCGCTGCCTCGAAGTCATCTTGCGGTTTAACACCGTGTTAATGCATGTCCGAGGCAAGGACAACGTCGTTGCAGATGCACTGTCTCGAGCATGTTTGCCCGAAAACGACCTCCTGCAACCCTCTGCCGTGTCCAGCTCTGACTCTGAGACCAAAGTCAGCAACAACACAGGCCCTCAGCCAATTGCTGTCACCGCATCAATCTCGATGCCCTGCTACTTGAGTCCAGAGCTCATCGCAGCAGCACAAGCCACTGACACCGAACTACCAGGTCTGCTAGAAGACTCCAGTCTACAACTGCAACAGTTTGTCGTAGACGGACACTCCCTCTGGTGCGATGTAGCCCACAACATTGTCAGGCCCTACCTGCCTACAGAATTTCGTCACACGGCCTTTGAGGTTATACATAACTTATCGCACCCCGGAGTCAAGACCACTGCCCGTACCGTCACACAAAAATACGTTTGGCCAGGCGTGCGCAAGGACGTCTTTGCTTGGTCGAGGACCTGTGTTCCCTGCCAAACCGCTAAGGTGAGCCGCCACAACAGGTCTGCCCTCGGTCGCTTCGCAGAGCCGGACAACAGGTTCGAAGATATACACATCGACCTCATCAAGCTCCCGCTAGTCCAGGGCATGCAATAGTGTCTTATGATCATCGATCGATTCTCGCGTTGGCCTATGGCGATCCCACTGCCCAACACTCAAGCAAACACTGTAGCAAAGATCTTAAACCTCTGGATCAGCTCCTATGGCACTCTAATCTTTATCACCTTAGACAGAGGGGCAAAATTTGAGTCCACACTCTTTTAAGAACTGGCCAGGATGATTGGCGCCATGCACGTCAAAATCACCGCATACCACCCTCAATCGAACGGCATGGTCAAGCGCCTCCACCGGACTCTCAAGGCCGCGCTCAAGTGCTCCACCCTGCCTTGGGTTGATGCGCTGCCTTCGGTACTTCTTGGCTTAAGGCCCACTTACAAAGAAGACCTAAAGGCCTCCCCAGCAGAGATGGTCTACGGCAGCTCACTCCGGGTCCTAGGAGAATTTTTTACGACGACTACTTCCAAGGCGGACTGCTCAACGTTCGTAAAAGGTTTACGACAACTTTTCAAGCCCCTCAAAGCAGTACCAGCAGCACACCATTCGCCCGCACGACCTTTTGTTTTCAAGAATTTTGACAAATACTCCCACGTTTTCAAACGAGATGACAAAATTAAGAAACCACTGGAGCAGCCGTATACAGGCCCCCATCGTGTCATCAACCGCAACAATTCAAGAACGTTCACAATTGAAGTCGATGGGGAAGCCAAAGTCGTTTCTACAGATCAATTGAAACCAGCCCACTTAGAGCTGGCAGAGCCGCCCTGTACTGCCAAAGACACTCTACCTCACTCGGTCTCATCCGATCCCATGGACCCGCCGCCCGTGCCTTCAGGCAACCCAAAACATCCAGGGCGATCCGTATCGTTCGCAGACTCCTGCTGCTGATACCTCGTGTCTCTTTCTAACTGCAAAGCTACATAAGCCGAGCCAACCCTACCATTCGTCGCCTCAGCTGCGGGAGAAGAAAGAAGACAGAGCAAGCAGCAGCGGCGCCGAGTTCACGCATTTTAGTTTATCGTTCCTTCTAGCCTGCGCCGTCGCCTGAGACGGACTTTACGCCTTTTGTACTTGTTCATTAACATTAAAGTTTTGTTAACCGTTATACAGAGTATCCTTTCTCGACCCAGTGCTCCTCCTCCCGTACCTGGACACGGAGGCACCTTGTTACTACCAGAGCCTCACCCTCGCTTCGTTCGCCATAACTACTCTGCATCCAAAGTGGGTATTGACCTTTTTAAGCTCGGTCACTATGTATTTCCACTCCTTCTCCAGCTGCGATAAACTCATGGTGGGCAGGTTGTTATTGTTGGCGATACGGTTCAATGCCTTGTAATGTATGACGTAGCACTCTTTATCATATAAATTCGTATTGAACTTTTTCTGCTTCGAGCGAAGTGAAGCCATATGCTGTGGGCAGAGAGGCAAATCTTTGTGTCCATCATGGATAGCTACTGGATACTCCAGATCTACTTCCAATATATATCTATAACGGTCATTACGCTCGCAAACATCACCATCACTTGAAATACCAGAGAAGTTTAGTTCTGTGATGTGGTTGTCCCAGTGGAAGTCATACCTTGGTAGTGCGTGTGTCATTGCCCATTCATACAAAATGTTTGCGTCAAAATACATGAGGTATTCATCTTTGACTTCTGGATTATAATCTACTTCCATGTACTTGTTGTTCGTCTTCGTATTGTAGCTCTGTATATATATATATATATATATATATATATATCTGTGAGCAGCTCTAATTTAACTTGGGAGAGCTTTAGCATGGCATCCCACATTGTATGCTGTCATAATGTGCAGTATCTAACTCGTATGCTGCCAAGCATGTGGGGCGAAAGTTTTTAAATACATTTGCCAAGAGCAAAACGTCGGCCTTCAAGTACAGATCAGAATACTCCCCCAATGTTAGAGTTTAGAATATTTTCTAAACATTCTCTAAGCTTCTCCACACACCTAACATAGTTGTAAAGGAATGTGTATATACACCCTTTCTCAACTAAAGTCTCGTCTGCTCCTCACTATATACACGTTGGAATTCACTGCTAGTAAATTAATGTAAATTAATGTCACTGCCTTATACGTGCTTCGTGAATGAAATGTACTTCTCCTTGTTTTTGGCTAAAGGCTGCACCTCCCCCCGAAACTTTCACTCGGGACAACTCTTTGATGATGAAGTGTGAGTCATAGCCTGTTTGATTGCGAAATGTCACTGAAATGAATATGGAATTCTAATAGGGTTGAGCTTTTTGGTATTGACTGTCAAGCTAAATATTTCTTGAAGTGTCCAACCAAAATCTCTCTCTTTAAATTGTTCCATCTGATGCATGATAGGTTGCTTTATGGTTAAATCAAGCTACTCGTCATCGTCCATGTTAGTTGACTTCAGCACTCTTAGAATTGATATGATTTTGATGAATGACTTCCTTATTATCATTTTGTATCATGTACTTACTGGCAAGCTCAAAATTAATCTTTAAAGCATTGTGTTGTTCTAGAGTACTTGTAACTTCGGACACAATAATTGCTTTTGCATTTTCTAAGAAGGAAGTAATATTTGTGTCCACGATTGATTATTACACCAGTTGCTATACGATTCTTGAATGCTGATGGTAAATCTTATCACTGCACACTGAAACTATCTACATTTTTTTGCCTATCAACTATGTTTTGTGCACTGTTTTGTTCACTATCACTGTTCTGCACACTGTTTTGCCTATCGACATTGTTTGGTGCAATAGGATCATCAGCACTGTAACTGCTCTGCACACTGGAATTATCTGCACTGTTTTTGACACTGTCACTATTTTGTTCACTTGTAGTACACTGCTGATCTGGAAGGTGCTACTGTAATCCCCTTACTGATGGATTGGCAGGATTGCGTATCTCTTATGGATAATGATGCTGATGATATGAAATATTTCTTAAGCACTTCAATCGCCTGGGTCATTCGTTCTAACTATCTCCGTTGATCATCATCATCATTATCCGCTTGAGAAATCCAGCTGAGGGCTTTTGCTGAGAAATTCTGCTGAGAGGTGTATTTGAAGTATTGTATAGCATTACGCTCTTCGATGTTGATTGTTTGAATTCTGAGCACTGAATATTTTCACTATCTTGCGGATGCACTTTATGTTTAATTCTTCCTCTTAAACCATAATAGAGTTATAGTAGTTGGGGTAACTATTGAATTAAACTGTATAGTATTAATACATGCATATCTTAATTTATAAACAAGAATTTTTTTTAAAAGATGGTAGAAGAATCCAAACCTTGACCCCCATGTTCTGCAGTTAAACTATCGTTTTTGACTGCCTTATTGATTTTTTACGTATATCTCTCTATATTGTATAGTTATTTGGTATGAGGTAATTACAATTCTTTCTCAACCCCTCCCCCTCAAAAAAAAAGTTTGTAACAATTATCCCCCCCCCCCCACAAAATAAGGTAAAATTCGATCGTTTTTCACGTGATTTTGACATAGCTAAAAAAATATACTAGCCCCACATTTAGCTCTCTCACACCCACCATGACCCCCCCCCCCCCATAGGTTTTTTTTGGCTCCTGCAGCTCCCTTCACTAGTTCAACTTGCCAAGCATAAGAATAAAATGTATGCACCTAATTGTTCTAAACATACTTGTTCTGTCCACGGTCCAAACACCTTGAATACCATTTTCATTGTTTGTTGGAACCTCTTTTTTTTAAAGTCATCCATCAGAGATGGTACGATATATTTTTTTTCTGCTTTGTGGCCCTATGTTATAACATGGGGTGATGTACTAAAAAAGAATCACATTATCTGCCCCAGTATCACGTAAATAGGACTCCGCACATGACAATAAATTCATCATAAGTTCATTACACCTACACCTCTTCGGAGAAAAAGGTGTACAGGTACATATACACACTTCCAGTTTAGGTGTAGTTGTTTGTAATATCCATACTGAAGGCCACGGTTACATGGGGCAGAAAAAGCCAGTGCAAAGTCACAGCATCAGAGAGAAAAGTTGATTTCCATACAACCTTTTTCACTTATTGTGAGAACCTTTGGGAGCGTTTGATTTTCGCTCTAATTAGTTGATTCGGTGGTTTCCTTTTTGGAGTGGAACTTCTCTAGACTCGCCTTATATGAGGAGTCAACCCGTCAAACGAGGTTTGTATACAAAACAGGCTTGCATACCTATAGCTATACGCTCGAAATTCCAATGCAGAGAAAGCCATCTTAAACAAACAGGCTGGTGGTACTAGAGAAACGACATAGTTTGGTGGATAAGAACAACATTGTTGTTTTCTCTCACTTTTGCACTGCCCTGCCATGAAACGAAAACCATATGATATAGTATATACTTAAGTGTGTGTGTGTGGGTGTGGGTGGATGGGTGTGTGTGTGTGTGTGTGTGCGTATATGTACACTGCTTTTAATGCTTATATATATTTATTTTGCTCACGCATACAACAGTGGGCTGCAGTAGCTCTAGCTCTATATATATGTATATACACATGGCCTCTCTTTATACTACTGCTGCGTGGTGAAAATCATAATGTATAATATATATGTACGTAAGTAATTTTAATTGACGAAATCAATTATAATAATTATGAATTTCTAAAAAATAAATCATAATAGACTTTAAATAATCGACTCCGAGGAAAATCACCACGGGTTTTGTTAGAGTCTAAGCATCCTTATTTAAGAATAGGGGGTTGGCGCTTAAAGCGCGTAGAAAGCAAAGCTCCACTAGTATACATATGGATGAAAATAACATCTTTCGACCAAATCCGTCCGCAGTGGGTTCTTAGATTGGGCTCAAATTTCAGTATGTTATTGCACCTTAAAAAAATAAGATACTAGCAAAAATTTCAGTCTTTCAGATCCCCAGGGATCCGAGATATGGCCCTTTAAACGGAAAATCGGCCTTATTCAGCTGGTTTCTTTTTTTTTTTTTTTTTTTTTTTTTTTTTTTTTTTTCTTTTTTTAAAATGCTGCCCAAAATCAAGCTGTAACTCTAAAAATCCAGTTTCAGCGAATTTTCGTCGTCTTGAATGGAATTGTAAAGCTTGCTTCACATCATATGGTTCTTAAATGTTTTAAATCTGAAAAGAGCATCTTTATTGTTATTTCAAGACGCACAAAATTCATACCTTAGTTTAAAAAATCCAAATTAAGCTGAGTTATGGACGATGGAAGATGTCAATTTTTTGAAAAATCGTGTTTCTTACAATTTTTAAACATTAGCAACTTCATTCTACATTTTTTTACCTGAAAAATTACAGAAATATTCTCCAAACATAAAAGAATAAAGTCTCATGGGTCTGGTCAAGGCTATTTGACTTTAACTTTGACTTTTACAATGATGAAGCTGTATAAATTTTTCACTCAGCGTCTTATTCAGCGTTTCTTGCTCATTTTTGTTGTATTTTAATGCACGTAAAGAAATTTTGAAGTTACATTATTAAAGTAGATGTCAAGACCTACAATTAGTTTTTTTCTAATTTTTTTTTAAACATCAGTGATTTCAATTTTAGTTTACATTTTTGATTTAATACATATGAATGCTTTTTTTAATTCAGCTTGTCTGTGTAAGGTGACTATGTGTGCAAAAAAACATTTTAATTTAACTGGCTCCGTCACGTCACTATAGCTACAGTTTTATGAAGTGTAACTTGTAACAGTGAACGATGTGTTCCCGCGCGTATGATTACTTCAAAAATTTACTTGAAAACTGGAATCTCGAAAAGTTTATCAAGTGATTTAGCTTAGAAAGTATCGGGTAAAGTATCGATTCCTTACAAAAAGTATTAGGTATTTTTTAGCTATCGGGTAGGTATCGCCGATCCCTAGCCTAGAGCGCTATGGGGTACTTCTGAACGCTAA